CAGAATCCTACGGTACCATATTTATAATCTCAAAAATACTTTTAATACATGGTTTAAGAGTTTCTCCCAATAGTGAGAAGCTGTAGCAGCACACACCCATCATCCAGAGGTGGCCATCCATTTGACTGGCTGACAGAAGGTATCTCTCATATCTATAGGCCTCAGATGTCTTGCTAGTCGATGTCAACCAAGCTTCTCTGGTACCTAAGGCCTCAGTTTCTTCTACATGCTCCCTTCACCACCACCTTCTACCACCCCCCTTAATCCTATCCCTGTTGACCTAATCACTTTGTCTGATGTTCCCTAGGTCTGCCTAAGGATGGGAAGCATGGAAACATCTGGATTTCTGGTGGGCTTCCTGGCTTTTGGCCTAGGCCTGGCTATGATCTTGGTAAGCTGCCCCCGACCTTCTCTTGGATCTGGGACCCCTGTGCCTTTCTCCTCTCCTCTCTCTGCCTTGTCACTCTTACCCCTCTGACCCCAACTCTGGCCAAGCCCCGGTCCCTACTTCAGCTCCTCTAGCTTTTGGACCCTGTGGGCTATGATATCTTATCTGGGGCAGTCCTTCTCTGTCTGCATGTTTGGTTGGGGTAGAGAACACTGGAGCATGGTTGAATCAGGGATAGGGAACAGCATTCCCACAGGGCAGTAAAAGGTAGAAAGGGGAACATAGGGACCTTCCCAAATGACACATTAACATCTGTGACAAGATAGATGATGCAGCAGACAGGGTGCTAGACTTGAAATCAGGATGACCTGAGTTCAAATCCTTCCTCAAACACTAATTTTGTTACTCCAGGCAAGTCACATAACCTCTCTCCCAGCCTCAGTTTTCTCATCTGTAAAATAGGGGTAATAATAGCACCTACTTCACAGGGATGTTGTAAAATTCAAATAAAATAGTGTAAATAAAGTGCTTTGCAAACCTTAAAGCTCTGTATAAATGCTACTTATCATTATTGTCATTAGTAGTAGTAGTAGTAGTAGTAGTAGTAGTAGTAGTAGTAGTAGTAGTAGTANNNNCATAACCCTAGACAGTGATTCTAGGCACATACACTTGAGCCAACAGCTATTAATCTCTAGCCTGCTGGCTCCTTTCTGAAGGAGGGGGAAATGAGAGGAAATAGGTGTTAGAGGTAGGCCTCAAGGCAGGAAACCAGATGAGGGGACTGGCCTAGAGAAGGGAAAAGTTCAGGACTGCAGGGGAGAGACAAGAAATTGGAAAGTGCAGGGAGGGGAGGTGGGAAGCGGCAGAAACAGTAGACACAGAATCCCCTCTGGGCATGAGCTATGGTAGACCACTTACTACCTAACATGGCTAAAGTCAGAATATTCCTGTGTGGGGCAGGATCATGGGACGTGGCCAGCTTAGACACATGAACTCCCGAGATGGCCAGCGTAGGCATACACTCTGGTAGCCCATCATGCTGCCCTACGCGTTAATTAACGACGTTAGGTTGTTAATGGCCCTCCAGTAGGCTATGACTATGTTCTTCCTCTGTCCCTCAGGTTTGGCATCTCCTGGGAACGTCCCCAGAGCTTCCCTCGAAGCAATCTGAGGACAGGCGCCAGTCTGTGAGCCGCCAGCCATCTTTCACCTACTCAGAGTGGATGGAGGAAAAAACTGAGGATGACTTCCTGGATCTGGACCCTGTCCCTGAGACACCAGTGTTCGACTGCACAATGGACATCAAACCAGAGGCTGACCCCACCTCGTTGACAGTCAAATCCATGGGCCTACAAGAGAGGTGGAGGAGGGGCTCCTGGGGCTCAGAGACTCCAAGGATCTGAAAGCTTTCCCATTCCCTACTTCATTCCCTGCTAAAGCCAAGGGATAGGTATCTCTGGTAGTCTATGCCCCAGGACAGAGCCATAGGCGAGATGGGTCTGTGTTTCAGAGAATGGTCAGTGTAGACCTTCTCACTATGGGGTATCATCCAGCAGACATAATTCAGTGATGGAGAGGCAATGGTAGGAAAAACTCAGAACTGGGAATAAAGAGTTCTGGGTTCTGATGCTAGATCTTCCCTTAATTCCCTGCTACCTGGAGAAAGTCCATTCCTTTTATACTCCTCAATTTCCTCATCTGTAAAACAGGATTGGATAAGATGACCTTCAATAGCCCTTCCTGCTGCGTCATTCTTACATACTCCCTCTGGGGCACTCGGGCTGTAGAAGACACTATCTGTACTACCACCAACCCTTCCCAAAGGTTTCAAAGAATGAAGCCATTTCTTGAGTGGCCCTGAACAACTGCCTTCCCTCTCTGTGCCTAGGAGTCAGTTCTGTCGTCGCCAAAGTGCAGGCAGGCCAGGAGTCAGCCCAGGTGGGGATAGAAAGAAGAATGAAATGCAAGGGTCATCCTGAATAGGGCCAGGGGGTTAGATCTTGCTCTTCTTCTCGGGGCCCTCTAACCTCATATATAAGGCCTCCTTCCAGGCAGACAAATGACCCAGACCTAAGCCTTAGGGACTGATATCAGGATGAGAATTTGGGCTCTTTAAGAGAACAGGACACATCTTTTTAAAAAGAAGTGTTACATTATCTTACTATATCCCCATGAGAAATGGGGGTCCTGAGCCTGGACCATAGTCCCTCATCTTGGAACTGTCATCTTCCATCTCTGAGCTCATCCCCGAGTGTCCATCCTGTATCCCTTAGCCTTCATCTTCCATCCTTGGACTGGGGCCTCATCTTTCAAACTTGGGTCTCATCCTTCATCTCTGGGGCCTCACCCCTCATTATGAGGCCCCCATCCTCTAGCCCTGGACCATTGTCATCCATCTCTGACACTAGGACCTTGCTTTCTAGGAGGGGCTCAAATGTGTCCCTGACCCTGGACATGTGCACTCCAGGCTGCTCTGAGGAGGGCTTTGGCTACATCATGTCTCCACGTGAGGAGTCAGCCCGTGAATACCTGCTCAGTGCCTCCCGGATCCTCCGAGCTGAGGAGCTCCATGAGAAGGCATTAGACCCATTTCTGCTGCAGGCGGAGTTCTTTGTGAGTATCAAACTTCAAATCACCCTCTGAACATGCTGGGAACAATGTCTGTTTCACTCATTCATTCAGGAAATGCTTCCTAAGCAGCTATAGTGGACGCATGCATGTAAGTCCAGTGCTCTCTACAGGAACAGTGAGGGATCTGAATCAGGAAATGTGGTACGGTGGAAAGGGCATTGGATTTGCACTCAGAGACCCTAAAATAAAATCTTGCCTTTCAGTTGCTGCCTGTGTGACCTTGGACAAGTCACTTAAAAATCTAGGTCTCCCATTTCCTAAGTTGTAAATAAGGGGGTTAAATTAAATGGCCTCTGAGGTTCCTTCTTCCTCTTGATTTGTGATCCTATGATTCCTAAAGCCCCACCTCAGATGACATGCCCCTGGTAGATCCAAATCCTCCCCTACACAGAGAGATTGTCACAGAAATATGCACTAAGTCTCCATTGAACTTTTAAGAGTAGAAAACACTGGCTCGCCCTCTTGACTTGACTTTGCATTTCAATAGCACCACCAGGCTCCTAGTGACCAACGTTTAAAACCTGTGAGTCATCCTCAATTCCTAGTCTCCCCCTAGGCCCAGCCCCCCAGCCTCCACTGTCCATATTCAGTCATGAAGGCCAGTTGATTTCATCTTTGAAATGTGACTCAGTTCCAAACCCTCCTTTTCCATCCTTAGCCCCATCCTAGTCCAAGCCTTATCTCCCCACCCTTGGACTGTTGCAATAGCCTCACTGTACAATACTCTCTCATTGGTTCACTTTAAAGGCCATTGCCAGATTAGCTTCCCTAAAGAACAGCCCTGCTCAAAAACTTTCAATGGCTCCCTGTCATCTAGAGGAAACAGTCTATTTTTCCTAAGCCTAGCAGTCCAAACTCTCACAGTCTTTCTCTAAATTATTTTTTTAGCTTAAGTACTCAGTATACCACTTAAAAAGATATGCCTCGACTTTCCTGCCTGTGTCTCTGTTCACATCATTCCTCTCTCCATTCCTCTACTTTCTCATTTTTCCCTCCTTTATACAAACTCATTTAACAGAGAGGCAGGATAGAAAAGACCAGTAGAGCCAGGAAGGACCATGAACCAAAACTCAGTTTTTTCATCTCTAAAATAGGGATAAAAATAACCATAGTACCTCCCTCCTGGGGTTGTTCTGAGGGCCAGAAGAGCTGATGTGCCACGTAAAGAGCATTGGAAATCTTAAAATATTATATAAATGTTAGCCACTGCTATGACCCTGTCAGCAATTTTTATATAAAAGAATATATGTTTTAAAATATTTTAGGAAGCAGTTAGGTGGTGCAGTGGATAAAACTCTGACCTTGGAGTCAGAAGGACCTGAGTTCAAATCCAGCCTTTGATACTTACTAGCTGTGTGACCTTGGGCAAGTCATTTAACCCCAATTGCCTCACCCCACCCCCAAAAAACTGTATTTTATATTTATGTGTCACATTTTATATTGGAAGAGGCAACCTGGTTTAGGAGATAGAGCATTAAATTTAAAGTCAAGAAGACCCAAGTTCAAATCCTTCCTCACACACTACCTGTGTGACCCTCCTGTGATCTCTATGTGCCTCAGTTTTCTCTAATGTAAAATGGAGATCATAATCCCTACCTCACTGATTGTGGAGGGGTTCCAATAAAATAATTTATGTAAAACACTTTGCTAACCTTGAAGTGTTATATAAATGTGAACTATCATGATTATGGTGATGTTCTCATAAATCTAATCTATTCTTCAAAGTCCAACTCAAGTCCTGACTCCTACATGAAGCCTTTCCTAGTTAATCCAGCTGACATGAAGCTCTCATTCCTCTGAGCTCGTAGACATATGTTGTCTATAAAAACTCTTTTGACAATGACTTTCTTTAAAACTACTCTTGTATGGTATGGTTAGGATTCCCATCACCATCTTGGCAGCACACCAATTAGATGTCTTCCTAAAACACGGCTCCCAGAACATATACCCTATTACAGAGATGACCTCACCAGGACAGAGGACATCAGGACAATTGCCTCCCCAATTTTGGAAACTGTGCCTCTTTTAATGGAAATTAAGATCACATATGCTTCTTTGGCTGCTATATCTCCCTGTTGACTCATCCTGGGCTTGTGGTCCAATACAGCTCCTAGATCATTTTCATACATATTGTGGTCTGGCCACACCTCCCCAGTCTCATACTTATATGATTGGTTTTATTTTGCTTTGCTTTTAAACATAAGTATAGGATTCTTTAACTATCCCTATGCCATTTTATTCATTATCTCAGCCTGTCAAGAACTTTTTGGATCTTGACTCAGTTGTCCGACAGGTTTGGGCTCCTTCCAGGGTGGTGGAATTTCCAGATTGCCTTGTATGCTGTAATCCGAGTTACTGATAAAAAGGGTTCAACAGAACAGGACCAAAGACATATGCCCGAGGTACTCTACTGGAGATGTTCTCCCATTGCCCATGACTTTGCGAGTTTGGTCATTTGACCTATTCTGAAACCAACTAGCTTTACTACCTACATCTCTCTGTCTTGTCCACAAAGACAGCCTGAGGGATCGAGAGTCAGATACCTTGCTGAAATACAGGTATGCTACATCTACAGCTAGGGGCAGCTACGTGGTACAGTGGATAGAATACCTGATCTGTAATCAGGAAGACCTGAATTCAAACCTGGCCGCAGACATCTACTATCTGTGTAACCTTGGGCAAGTCAAGTAACCTCTATTTGCCTCAGCTTCCTCATCTGCAAAATGAGGATAATAATAGCCTCTTCCCAGGGTTGTTGTGAGGATCAAATGAGATAATTACAAAGTTCTTGGCACAGTGGCTGGAATACAATAGGTGCTATATATATATATATATATTTGGCTAAGTAATAGGGTTAAGTGACTTGCCTAGGGTCATACAGCTAGTAAGTGTCAAGTGTCTGGATTTGAACTCAGGTCCTCCTGACTCCAGGGCCAGTGCTCTATCCACTGCGCCACCTAGCTGCCCCTAATAGGTCCCATAGAAATGCTAGCTATTGTTGTTATTATTATTATAGCACTCTTCTGACCTATCAGTCTGGTAACCCTGAAAAAAAAGGAAACAAGGTTAGTCTAACATGGAGTGTTCTTGAAGAACCCTTGGCTGGCCCTTAGGGATCACTGCTTCCCTTTCTAAATGCTCACAATCCCCCCTCTTTAATAATACATTCAAAATTTATTCCAGAAATCAGATTCAGACTCACCTCCAAGCACACAGTGTCTGGCGTATAATAGAGAATAATAATAACTAGCATTCATATTTCATCTTTAGGTTTGCAAAGTGCTTTACCAATATTATCCCTCATTTGAGCCTCACAACAACCCTGGGAGGTAGGTGCTATGATTATTCCCATTTTACCGGTGAGGAAACTGAGGCAGGTAGGGGTGAAGTACCCAGAGTCACGTCATTGTCTGAGGTCAGACTTACTCTCAGGTCTTCCTGACTCCAGGCCCAGCACTCTATCCACTGCACCACCTCACTAAATGTGTGTTACTGATAAAGGATGTGATCCCTGCCTTTAAGAGACTTGTGGTCTCATTGGAGAACCCTGAAACAAAAGTGTAATTGACAAGATAGTTTATGATCAGAGACTAAGCTTTGGAGCACTGACCAGCACTAGGGCCTCCCCCAGCCAGTGACCAGGAAGAGAGGAGGGGGGCTCAGCTCCTGTCGCAACAAGGACAGGCAGTGAGCGTCTCATGGAAACATAACCAGCATCACAAAGAGATCGTTGAAGCTAAAATGCAGTAGGAACTCGCAGCACGTAGCTTTTCCCCATAGGCTGAAAAGTCTACCTAGTATATAGTCAGGTACCTACGAACTTTTCATGTGACCCTTCTTCCGGCAGGAAATACCCATGAACTTTGTGGATCCAAAAGAGTATGACATTCCTGGCCTGGTGAGGAAGAATCGCTACAAAACCATCCTCCCCAGTGAGTACGCATACCTGCAAACCTGAATGCCTGCCTCCATTGGTCACTATGCTTCTCTCTAAACACAGAATGGCCTGGGAGCCCCAATGGCAGTGAGGTGGTACAGTCTATCAATCGATAAACATTTATTAAGTACCTACTATGTGCTAAGCACTTGGAATACAAAAAGAAGCAAAAGTGCCCTCAAGGAGTTTACAATCTCATAGGGGAGCCAGCATGCAAACAAATATATGCAAAGCCAGCCACATACAGGATACATAGGAAATTATTAACGGAGGGAAGGCACTGAAATTAAGACGGGTTGGGGAAGGCTTCTGCAGAAGGTGGGATTTTAGTTGGGACTTGAAGGAAGCCAGGAAGGTCAGTAGTAGGAGTAGAAGAAGGAGAACATTTCAGGCATGGGGAACTGACAAGAAAATGCCTGGAGCTGAAAAATGAAGTACCATGTTTGTGGAATAGCCAGGAGGCCAGTGTCATTGGATCAAAGACTACACAGTGAGGAGTAAGGTGTAAGAAGATTGAAAAGGACTAGATTGTGAAGAGCTTTGAATGCCAAAGAGAACATTTTGTATTTGCTCCTAGAGGGAATAGGGAGCCACTGGAGTTTATTGAGCAGGGAGGTGACATGATTGGACCTGCACTTTAGGAAAATCATTTTATTAGTGGTCAAACAGAGTGGGGAGAAACTTGAGGCAGGCACACCCACCAGCAAGCTATTGCAATAGTCCAGGCATGAGGTGATGAGGGAATGGACCAGGGGAGTGGCAGTATCAAAAGAGGGGTGGGGGGATTTCGAGAGATGTTGCAAAGGTGAAATCAATAAACTTTGGCACCAGATTGGTTGTGGGAGGTGAGAGATAGTGGGGAGATCAGGATGACTCCTAGGTTGGAAGTCTGGGGGACTGGAAGGATGGTGTTGCCTTTTACAGTGATAGGGAAAGAAAGAGAGGGGAAGCGTTTAGGGGGAAAGGTAATGAATTGTGTTTTAGAGATGTGGAGTTTGACATGTCTACTGCACATCCAGATCAAGATGCCTCAAAAACAGTTGGAGATGCTGAGATGTAGATCTCAGCAAAGAGATTGGGGGCAGGAAAGGTAGATTTGAGAATCATCAGCAAAGAGATGGTAACTAAATCCATGGGAGCGGATGAGATCACCTAGTGGAGAAGAGGGGAGAACCCAGGAAAGAACCCTGAGGGACACTAATGGTTAGCGGGTATAATGTGAAGAGGATCCAGGAAAGGAGACAGAAGACAGGTGGTCAGATAAGGTAGGAGGAGAAATAGGAAAGAAAAAAGTATCAGGGAGAAGAGTGAGCAACAGTGTCAGAAGTTGCAGAGAACCAGGAGAATGAGCAATGAGAAAAGGCCATGGATTCGGCAACTACGAGATCATTAGTAACTTCGGAGAGAGCAGTTTTGGTGGAATGATAAGGTCAGAAACTAGATTGTAAGGGGTTGAGAAGAGAGAAAGTGGAGGCATAGAGTGCTGGACTTGGGGCTAAGAAGGCCTCAATTCAAATCCTGCTTTAGATACTTACTATCTGTGGGTCTATCCCTAGGCAAATAACCTCCCTGGACTCAGTTTCCTCATCTGTAAAATGAGAGGGTTAGGCTTGGTAGAACTCTAAGATCTCTTCCAGCTCTAATCTATGGTCATACAAAAGAAAGGTTATCTTAATGTATATGTAGAGCCTGTATCATATTACATATCATTTTAGGGAGGGAGGCAGGGAGAGAAGGGAAGAAAATTTAAAACTCAAAAGCTTATGGAAGTGATTGTTGAAAACTAAAAAATT